GGGAGTAGAGAAACAGGATTAGAGAGCTTATTTTGGTTGGCATAAAGTCGGTGAAGGCAGGTTGCGTAGACATTGTTGAATTTATAATATTTAACACAACTACTAAACTCTCCACAATTGATTGTCGTAGCAATCAGTGATGGAGTAATGAAGAAATGAGAGCCATTGGTATAAGACTGAATGATTTTATCATGACCAGATGGCACAACAGAGGCATTCATTCAGAACTCTTTAACGAGATTAGTGTATATGAGGCCATGAAGAATGTGAAAGTAACTATTCAAGCTTTGTTTGTTAACAACTTTCCTTTGTTCAAAACGATCAAAATCATTTAAATAAACATACTTTTCATTGATAACAAACAACATATCTATATCCATTTTTTATAAGAAAAAAAACTTTGAAACAAGACACAGAATTGGTAATGAGACGTTGAAAATAGGAAAAGACTTTGAAACACTGTTTGAAGACACAACGAGTTGATAATTAGACGTTTAAATAGTTCAAAAGCCTCCTTGATCATCCAAAAGAGACGTTACGACTTGAATATAACCGATCATTGCTATTCTAGTGATATGATTCTAATGCATGAACGCCGCATCGATGTTCTAACCTCTCTTTTAATTGTATTTTTTATTTGTAAATTAAATGTTCTAACCCGTCGATGTTCCTAAAAACCGAGGGAAAATTGATTGTTAAAATTGAGCGTTAAAATTGGAACCTCTATTTTAGTTGTATTTTTTATTTGTAAATTAAATGTTCTAACCTGTCAGTTTTCCTAAAAACCGAGAGAATATTTAGCGTTAAAATTGAGGATATTTATCAAATTCTTAATCAAATCCTTGCCATCCATTTCATGACTATCAACACTCAAAATATTATCATTAGAGATTTGCGTGAAACATAAATAACTTCCATTATAAAAGCATTATGAATATAAAGAATTGTGCCTCTTAAGCAAGTAATATCATGAAGAGTTTAAGGTTTGCAAGAGTGTTTGCCGTGAATTTTTCTCTATGATGGATTGCAATAACAAAAATTTTTTTGGGTTTAAGGTTTGCGTTCTTAAATATTTATTTGAGCAAAAAGTTATTTATTTATATAAACCTTTTTTTGTCTAAATCTTTTTTTGTTCATATCAGAAACAAATGTAAGCAAAAGCCATAAAGAATATCCTGCACGTATCATTTGACCTACTCTAAAATTATATAATTTGAAGATCTAAAATATATATCTTGGAAAAATTATTTGGATATAGGATTTGTGTTCTTAAATATTTATTTGAACAGATAATTATTTATTTACCTAACTCTTTATTGTCTAACCCTTTTTTTGTTATATCATAAACAAATGCAAGCAAAATCCATAAAGAATATCCTGCACCCATCATTTGATCTATCCTAAAATTGTATGATTTGAAGATCTAAAATCTATATCTTGTAGACATTATTTGGGTTTAAGGTTTGTGTTCAATATTTATTTGAACAGGAAATTATTTATTTATCTAACCTTTTTTTGTTGGGAGAAAAGAGTTTCCCAACATTTAATCTTGTGCAGAATATCAAGGATTAAATATCCAACATATGATCTTCATGCACAATTATTTTTTCATGTGTAAAAAATATAATATTCTGGATAAATAAACATATTATTTTATTATTGTTCTGTGTAAACAATGTAACGAGTTTTATCAAAAAAGAATTATTAACCCCTCGGTTTTCTTGATAAACTGAGATAAAAAAGACGCTAGTTTTTGTAAATAATAAAAGTGCTGAAGTTAGGGTTCGAACCCATATGCTAATAAAATTATACCTCAGATTCTAATGCAAAGGTAAAACACATTTCACGTCTTTTTGTAGTAGTGAGCAGAAATTAGAGAATCGACCGTATGATTTATTTATTTTTCCAATTTTTTAAAATAATCAATCACTGTAAACGTTTTTGCTTTCAATCTGTTTAATATTGACACACTTGCTTCTTAGCAGTCTCAATGATTCAGTATGAAAATTACAGTAGGGGTCATAAGTTATAGTGATTATAATACAGACTTTTGATGATTGGTAAGTTTCACCTTTGATGAGATTTTACAACAAAAATTTGTTTATGTTTTATTATGATATTTGGTAAATTTATACATCTTTGAAACACCACCTAATTATATATTTTGCATTTTGAAAATTGGAACTACTCTCAAATATTTCTTCATGCAGTTGTAGAATGGAAAAATAAGTTATGAACTTATTGTTGTAATGACGAAGTTCGTTGTTGGAGTCACAAATTAAGCTAGTTGAGAGAATGATTTGAGATGTTTAAACATGTTTTCTTTTTAACATTTTAAATGTATGAAACGAATACTTAACAACATAACAGAAGTAACATCTTGCCTTTTCAAATTTATAATTAATACGTTCTCATAATTTGTTGAGCTATATTTTCATTATTTTTGAAAATACTACTTAAATCTGTATATAATGATTGGTGCATACTATTAGTCTATATTTGTGATTATGTGAATATTTATCATCTTACAATTTCACAACTGACAATGAGATATCGCGATGTTCAGTACATTAATTAGACATGTGATAACACATGTATTTTACTAGTTCGATTATAAAATACTTCATTTAGTGACCAAACATATAGATTGAGATTTGAGTTTTATGAAATAGATGTCCGTAAGCAATCACATCTCATATCTCATTTGTTATGAATCATATATATATATATATATATATATATATATATATATATATATATATATATATATATATATATATATATATATATATATATATATATATATATATATATATATATATATGAGGAGATATATTCTTACTCCAATAGTAAGTTATTGAGGCTTACTCCACATCTTAACTATTAACTCTTCTTATTTAATTACTTATTATTTTTAACCATTAGATTAAAAAGAATTAATGGTCAAAATGTGAAATAAGTCTCAATAACTTACTCTTGGAGTAAGAATATTATAAAGATTTATTTTTAAAAGAAACTATTAAAACAAACTATTACTTAAAATTGTTTTAAATATTTTTGTTGATTTATTATCTCTTGAAAATCAATAAAAGATTAACTTTCAAAGTCTCATGCATATCTTAAAACTTAAAACTAACCCATATATTTTCAAAAATTAAAACAAAAAATATTTTATAAAATAATAGAAAACTTAGGGTCTGTATGATTCAATTGAGGGGGAGTGGAAGAGAGAGATTTTAATAAAGGAAAGGGGAGATGAGGGGAGAATTTTTTTAATTATATATATATATATATATATATATATATATATATATATATATATATATATATATATATATATATATATATATATATATATATATATATATATATATATATATATATATATATATATATATATATATATGGTTCAAAAGAGGGGAGGAGATGAAAGAGGAGGAATTTTGATTAAAAATATGTTTGGTTCATGAGGGGAGGATAACGATTTTATTTTTAATTTACATTTTTATCCTTATTATTTTAAATAAGTGATATGATATTTAAAGGTGAAAATTGTTGGTGATTTTAGTATCACCAATGTATTTTAGTAGTAATGTGATTTACTAAAGGCCGATGCAATTATGCGTTAAGTTCGGAGACGAGTTAGGGAAGTGCGGAGTGCACGCTCGTCGAACCAATGCATAATTGAAACGGGGTTCCAAGGGGCGAAGCCCCTGGCGGGGTGCAGGGCAGCGCCCCGTTGGGGTCCAAGGGACGGAGCCCCTCGAAAATTTTGAATCCTTTTCCCCAACCGACATAACCGTTTTCGAACAGGTGTGTCTTTTCGGTTTCAGTTATTGATTTCCTATATAAGGAGTCATTTGGCCTCGGTTTGAAAAAAAAAAAAACGAAAACGATTCTTTCTCTCTACTTTTGTAATCAGTTTTCTTTTGCCAGAAACAGATTGTTTTTCGAGAATTATCCCCACAAAGATTTCGTGAACCCAGGCAAGAATATGGTCGAAATACTTTGTTCGGAAAGTGTACGAACACGATTCTTCGAAGTTATCCAGGATTATCATACCAAAATTTCTAACAAAAAATTCTTAAATATTTTTTTGTAAATAAAATTTGTAATACTAAATGATTAAAAAATCACAATTTACTACATAATGTTAAAAAAATTGAGTATATTTGATTCATATTATAACTGTCGATACAAAATAAATTATGTATTGATAACAACTTTTGAATGCATAAAATAATTTATTATTAAATATTAATATTATAAAATAACTAAAAAAATAAATACTTTAAAATTTTATAGAATAAAAATAAAATACATAAAGAAATTAGAAAAAAAAACTAACATAAATAGCCATAAAAATAAAAATAAAATAAAAATTATAATAATTATAATATATATTAAATAAAAAATAAAAAATAATTTTAAAATATAAAATAATTATAATAAATTAATAGAAACAATAAAAAAAATTACAAAAAAATAAAATAAAAACACGAAAGAAAATTATATTTTAAAATACTAAAATTAAATTAAAAATATTTTAATAAATATATTAATTTATTAAATATTAATATTCGTTTTTTCTCCCTTCTAAAATTTTCAATTTAGAGAAATGTAAAAAATGTGAATCGAAGAGATTTTACTCCCCTTTCATTATAAGTCTTCTCTCCTCTCCTGTCCATCTACCTCAAATCAAACACACATTAATCCTTTAAAGTTAGAATGAAGAGAAAAGTTTAAAAGTAATTTTCCTTAAAGAACGTAATAAGCAATTATAGAAATTAACCCGAACCCAAACACGGCCTAATTCTCTCTCGTGTCATCCTTGTCAGAACTCTATCTATCTCTCTCTCTCTAAAAAAAATTGCTCCCAAATGAAACCCTAACCAGTTTACGTTCTCAACTGAGAACCAAAGAGAAGTACCGGGGATTGATTCCCCTAATGCGTGTTGCTACACACTGTAACGCAGAAGCATCGATCTTCGTTATCAACGATGGAGCTCTGGAACGGCGATTTATCGGAGCTGGAGGTTGGGAGTTCCGTCGAGTCGTTCCAGAGGTTTTTGGTTTCTCAGAGAGAACTTTTGCATAGTCAGATCGATCAGTTTCAGGAAATTGTTGTCACGCAATGTAAACTCACCGGCGTCAATCCTCTCTCTCAAGAAATGGTGATTTTTCTTTTCTTCGAGATGCTGCTCTGTATCCCTTACATCTGACATTTTTCGAACTGTTTTATCGTAAAAAAACATGTTGATCCTCTTTTTTATGGCAATTACATGCAATAGCTATTAGTGGTTTAGTTATAGATAAAATTGTTGACACAGGATGGATACTTATTAGCATAATGTAGCAAATTAGGCTTCAATGTAATTAGTCCATTGAGTTTTGTTTCACGCGCGCAGATGTTCACGCTCGCATGCATTGAGCGCGTGATACGCCAACCGAACACATTCCGGTTGTATATTTGCTTTTTTGTGTTAGTCAACTCTTTCAATGCATCGTTATATGGTTTGATCTTGTCCAATTTTACTTCATTTGTTGATGATTTGTGTGTGTGTGTGCAGGCTGCCGGTGCTCTGTCAATAAAAATTGGTAAGTCTTCGATAGAATTTTATTTGTATTTCTGAGAAGATTAATTTACATTGAAAATTGAAGTATATGAATGGTTGTTTTATATTTTTGAGCCTAAATTCGTGTGGAATTTTTGAGTTTACTTTTATATTAGATATCACCAATGTGGCTTACTATGCTGACATCTAACTTCACTACCCTTGTTACATTACGTTATCATCTGCTATACTTTACACTTAGCTTATATTTAGACACAACACGACACTGCCTCATTGACACCGGTAATAAATTGAGGCAATGAAAATGACTAAGTGTAACCAAGATAGTTAATATCAAGATTTTATGCAAAATCGAGAAGCGGGAGTGAAATCGTAACACTAATCATAATATTATACAAAAATTCTAAAACTCATATTATTTAAATCACACTTCAAATACTTATATAAATTTAAATTGATTCATAAGCATAATTGCAAAAACATTTCAAAGATTGTAGACTCAACAATTAACAAGGGATATTCCACCCAATTCCACAAAATAGGAATCTGCATATACCCTTAATTGCCGAGGGCATTAGCAAGGCAGATTCCACCCAACTCCACCTTAATAGGATTCTGCATAAACTCTTAATCGCAAGGGCAAGCATAATTGTAAAATCATGGGATTTCATGTATCAAATCGGGGTTTTAACTACCATCAATGTAACTACACGTGTAGGCGTCGTGTCAGTGCTACATAGGTGTTTCCTCAAACTATGTAAATATAAATTTAAATTCATTCATAAGCATAATTGCAAAAATGTTTCAAAGATCGTAGATTCAACGATTAACAAGGGAAATGCTACATGATTCCACCAAAATAAGATTCTGCGTATACTCTCAATCGCTGAGGGAAAGCTAGAACAGCAACAACAATTGAGCCTTATCACATGAAGTGAGGGCAAGCATAATCGTATTCGTACCTAATTTTACGATTCAAATCGGGAATTTAACTATCATGAACGTAACTGCACATGTAGGTGCCGTGTCAGTTCCACATAGGTCTTTACCAGAACTATATTTCAATCATAACATCTTAAAAACCATTAATTTGGTAATTGAGCCCTTCATTTTAACAGATGGAATAAGTAGAGCAAGACATAAATGTTGTGTTTATGCCTCTTTCAGCCTTATTCATTATTTGCACTAATTGCAAATTTATCTACTTTTTGTTTCATGTCTTATATCTCTTATTAATTCAAACTTGTAGGAAAAAGACCTAGGGATTTATTAAATCCGAAGGCTGTAAATTACATGCAATCCGTTTTTTCTATTAAAGATGCAATTAGTAAGAAAGAATCTCGGGAGATCAGTGCTTTATTTGGTGTAACAGTAACACAGGTTTGTATGCAGAAACATTTCCGATCCCAAAATTTTGTTGTTACTCATCTGTTTTGGATTGTTAGATTATTAGATTCACATTTATAACCATTACCCTTTTTCAGAACAAAAGGGACACATTCACTTCCAACTTTGTTGTAAAATTACACATGTTACCCTGTTCTTATGCACTAACTTTTACGAGTCTTTGTACTTCGGTTTAGGTGCGTGATTTTTTCACTAGTCAACGTTCAAGAGTGAGAAAACTAGTTCAGTTGTCAAAGGAGAGGGCATTAAAATCTAATTCTTGTGCCGAATCTCTTGATGTGCAAATGAACTCTGATCTAGTGAGATCAATAAACCCAGCTCCCTTAAACTCAGATGGTGCCACCAACGTGGAAGAAGCATCCTGTTCTACACAGGAAGCAGCTCTTTCTGACCTGGACGACTTAGATAAACAATTTGTTGAGAACATTTTTGGACTAATGCAGAAAGAGGAAACATTTTGTGGACAGGAGAAGTTAATGGAGTGGATATTGTCAATACAGAACTTTTCTGTCTTGTTATGGTGTGTTATTTGTTTTTTCAAAAGCTTTTTTGTTCAATAATAGTATTTATATTTTTCTGATTTCGTTTTATGTCTGCATACTTAGGTTTTTGACCGCAGGAGGTGCAATAACTTTAGCCAATTGGTTGACTAAAGCTGCTGTTGAAGAGCAAACTAGTGTACTGCTTCTTATCTTGAAGGTAAATCTTGATCATCTGGTTAATATGCATTGTTTGCGTTATTTAAATCTGTACGTAGCTAAATACCACTATTAGACTTACTTGGTAACTGTTTTGCAGGTTCTTTGTCATTTGCCTTTACATAAAGCCCTTCCTGCACACATATCAGCTTTATTGCAGAGTGTTAATAGACTACGGTTCTACAGAACATCAGGTGTGATTTTTCTTTTCCATGCCTAGTGCCCATCAAACTTGAAATTGATTGTTCCTTATAATATCCCCTATCCCGGTGTCCCTCAGTATGGCTGTGTTATGTATATTAACCTTAGATTGTACCTTGATGGCAAGTGTTTGATCAATAACGACTACAGTTGAAGGATGTATAATAGCAGCATAGCATATTTTCTTATAGTAGGAAGTATTTTAACATGTCGTTAGCTTGTATTGTAGCATATTTACCCTAGCAAACTTTCTTACATTAAAATGTCCGATTCAAAGTTCTCAGCTATGCTTGTTTCTTTGAGTTTCGTATTCGTATATTTCTCTGTTTTCCTTTTCTGTGGGATGTTGATTAGGAAAGTATTGTATGAGATTTTATTTTCATATTTCTTTAGTTGACAAATAGCTTGTTATTTTTAATTTATGATATCGCTCATATTAGAAGTAGCAAGATAGAGAGGTGGATGGGGGGTTGACAATTGAATCTAGTGATTCATTTGATTCATTTCATTGTCAGTCTGTCACCTTGTATAACATAACCAATTAAGAGATGAAATGTTTTCATTTTTGTCTTCGAGCAATAGATGTCATTTTTAGATTGATTTCTGTAACTAATCACTTCAAGCTCTATTGTCCTTTTTATCATTTTCTTAGATGACTGTAAATAGCTTCAACTTCAAGTCTTAATTTGAAAGGGCGCTGTTTAAAAATCTAATAATTATACTATCTTGATAAACTTCTATGAATTATAGTCTCACTGATTTGAGGATCAGACATATCTAACAGGGCAAGGGTTTTGTTATCTAAGTGGAGCAAATTGTTAACAAGGAACCAAGCCATACAGAAACCTAATGGTGTTAAGCCTTCTTATGATGGTCAAAAAGAGAGAATACTTTCTCAAAGGCAAGCTTATGTCTTGATCTCATTTTGATACAGAATTTGTATGACCTTCTTTCTCAATTATTATGGTATCTACTTTTGCAGTATTGGTCAAATAATCGGCCCTGAATCATGGCATTTTGATGTTCCTGTAAGTGTCTTCTTAAACGTACATTTCACCTAGCAATGGTTTTACAGTTTGCATGTTTCTTAGCTATTCTTTCTTTCTACCAGGAAGATATTCTTGCTCTCTCGAATGAATTTTCAGATAATTTCAGGTTTGTGTTTGTTGGGGCTGATTGCTTTATTGCCTTTAGTCATCTTTTATCAAATAAGTTTCTCTGCCTACTAATTTTGTATAGATTTTGTGCCAACCTATTATAGTTGGTTGTTCTCGCTTTTACTGGCTGTGAATTATGCTCAGATTTGTTTATTTTTTGTTCAGGAAACTGGGATCTCAATCTGTGAAATTGTTGCTGCCCAGCTCAGATGATTGTAATAAGAAACCTCCCCTTGGTGTATCTTCATGTCGTATCCTTCGAGTTTTTTTGTTGACTACATATTGTTAACTGGTTCCTCAGAATGCTGATGGGTATCCATCTATATTCTGCAAGCATATAAAATAACAAACGCACCAAATTAAACGCATTAGGCAGAACTTGGATAATCTTTTGGAGTGGCAATTGTGGGCTAATTTTCCTTCAGAAAAGCAAATCAGTGGCACTCTTGCAATGGCTAAAATAATTTGATCCTGCAACTTCTCTCCTTGCAACTCTTTCTTAACAGCCAACTGTTTTTTTTTATAATGAAAACATACTGATTTTCAGCACAGGACCATTACCAATTTTTTGAAGTTCAAAGGGCCAATTCTTTATCTAATATATAACTCGGGATTATATTCATGAAACTTGCTGGCTAAAGAATAGAAATGGAATAAGCCCCCAATTTGATATTTGAAAAACTTTCAGAATATTGTAGGACTTCTAGAATATCAATTTGGTCTTCGTAAGATTTGTAACATCAAACTGGTACTCTACTTAGAATCTTTGTTTACGAAACAATATTAGTTTGCTTACAATAAAGCATAACATTTTTGACTATTTAGATGTCAAAACAGCATTCTTCAAGTGCTAAAATAGTGATTTGCTCAATAAATTTGTCAACTATTCATGTTAGCTGTTGATTAATGGAAAATGTCAACTTAACCTATCTCAGAATCTAGAGAGCGCAGAAAAGTACAATTGGTGGAACAGCCAGGATCAATAAGTAGAAGTCCACAGACGGCAAGGTCAGGGCCAGTAAGTCAAGGCCGTCCTATGTCCGCCGATGATATCCAGAAAGCAAAAATGCGTGCGTTATTTATGCAGAGTAAGCATGGGAAAACTGCTTCAAAGGAAAATAAAGAAGCCAAAATCAATAGTCTGAGTAAATCTCCGAAGGCCAGTATTGCAGTTTGCTCTTCTAAAGTTCCAGCGCCACTCAAAATTGAAGTAGAGAAGAAGCCTTTGTTGTTTTCTTCTAAAACCACTAATAGGCTGGAAGCTTCTTATTCTAAACTGAAAACGGATTTGAAGGAAACTCTCTCGGAGAAGTGCAAGAGGGTGAAAATCTTCTGGAAAACACCAGCAGGTACATTTGCAAATTTTTGTTGTTTCTATCAATTCATTCCTATTAGGATAGAAAAATTGGTAAAATTCATTGACTGCCAAAAAAAAAAGTTTGAAAGACCGAGAACAGACTGTAGTAAGAGGTATGCTGTCGTTGAGATTTAAAGAGGTGTATGCAGTAGAATCCCTGCACATTTTCTGGGAGGATATTCAGAGGCTTCTTTGCAACTCTGATGCTAACTTTGTTGACCCATTGTCTTTTTGCTGTTTTTATTACCTTATCATACAAATGTTAAATAGAACAAAAGTCGTGATCTAGCCTCATGTTATGTAAGTAACTTCGGCCCATATTGCCATTTGTACATGTTCCTACAAGGTGTTCATGAGATTTATGGAATTTTGCTGTCAAATCCATTTCTTCGATTTTGATATCCAAATAATAACACTGATTTGCTCAAGGATTTTAGGACCATCCATTATCTCTCAAACATCCGACAGTGGTTCAATTTGAATATTTTCCTCATGCCTTATTACTAATTGTGGGATCGTTCTTAATATGTACTCCCTCCGTCCCAAATTATAAGAGACGTTTTGGACATTTCACACGTATTAAGAAAAATAATCATGGGAAAGAGAAATTATGTATGACTCTACACTATTGTTCTTCATTAATTAAAGAGAAAAGTGAAATTAAGAGAATTGAAAGAAGAAAGAGAAATAAATAATAGAGGGTAAATTAGGAAAAATTTCATTAATGTTGCATTGAAATTGTAAAGTGACTTATAATTTTGGACAAATTTTTTATCCAAAGCGTCTTATAATTTGGGACGGAGGGAGTAATTATTAATATACTATTTTGGATTTTGTAATTTTGACTATAGCGAGTTATGATAAATCAGTAAAAGGGGAACACAAGGATGAAGAGGGTCATTTTCTCAATACCAATCATCAATAGCTTGTTAATTACTATCCAACTTTCTTATAAAAACGATTCAATTATATTGCAATCAGCTGCTCTCTTTTCCTTTGCTCAAGGAGTAAAAATTCAGACAGATGAGTTTGGTTTAGGCATGAATCAGCAGTATAAATCCATGTTTTCCATCTTCATTTAACGAGCCAAGCAAAGCAACTGTGAAATTCCATACATTGCTACTGCCTAAGTGTGAATGGATGATAGAAATGTATGGGGTACTTCGGTCAAAATAAAAGATGCATCAACAACTAAGCCTTATCCCACTAAGTGGAATTAGTTATATGGGTCAAATTACGGCATATTCAAATTGTTAATCTTAGATATTTGTTTGACCACTCTCCATCTAACATACTCTCCATCTAACATATTCTCCTTAAAACAAAATCCACTTGTCTTCTCTCTACATGTTTAAATTACCTAAGTTTATTTTCCACCACTTGTTTTACTATAGGTGCTACCTCTTCATTTTTTCAAATATTGTCATTTCTATTCTTATCTCGTCCAGTCTTGCAACAATTCCAACACAACATCATGTGTGCCACACTAAGTTTATTGTCGTGTTGATTCTTAATCGCTTAATCTTATGTCCTGTACAATATCACAAGTTTTACAACTGTCGGGTAAAGTTTTTCCTTTGGCTTTAGTGGCGGTACTTTTGTGCCAAATAAAATTTCCAAGGCTCTCCTCTATTTCAACCACCTAACTTGAATTCAATGATTTACATATCCTTCTATTTCTCTATTTTTATGTACTATAGACCCAAGATATTTAAACCATGTAACTTGTAGTACAATATGATCTCCAACTGTCTCCTCTAGGTTTTAAAGACTTCTCCTTTTGTTAAACTTACAATTCATATAATCCATCTTACTTTTGTTTAAGCAAAAGCCTTATGCTTCTAAGACTCGTCTATAAGTCTGTAATCTCATTTAAATTCTTCTTCGACTCTTCAAGTAGGACTACTTATTTGAAAAAAATATGCATCTCAGTATTAGTTCTTGGATGTGTTATGTAAATATATTTAAAATATAAGTAAAAAGCTAAGGGTTTAGAGATGAATCTTGGTGCAATCATTTTTTTTAATGGAAAAATTGTCTATCTCTCTCCACCGTGTATACTGCTGCATCTGCACACTAGTCAATACCCCTAATCTCAAATAAAAGATGAAAATAAAAGATGAAATTATGAATCGAATAAACAATCAACTTAGTTTTTAAGTATCATTCTCTTTGATTTGGTTCTTAAGTATCTAAAAATAATTAGTCCCTAAAGTATATAAAATCTATCAATTTAGTTGAGAAAGTATATGAAATTCCGTTGTGTTAGTCCTTAACATCTTAATAGGAGAGACTAAATTGACAAGTTTTATATAACTTAAGCTTATTTATCATATTTATGTGTGCTTATGAGCAGTGTTGTCAATCGTGAACAGCGGAAAATGGCGGATTGTTAAAATTCCGCTATGCAATAGGGCTATAGCGACTATTTGACAATATTTTGTACTAAACAGCGTAGCAGCGGTGCCAATAATGGGATATCCATATTTTGTTCAACTATAGCAGTAGCTGCCATAATGGTTATTTAACAACATTGCTTTAGCGACTAACTTTCAAAGAGAATCATATTTTAGGGTTTATGTTGATGGTTTATTTATTATTCATTTCTTGAAATATGACAGTTTTTTACTTTCCGATCCTGTTCAAGTCAGAATAAGCATTCGCGAGAACACTCTTTAAAGATAATATTTCTATACATGGTATTACCTACCTGATCAAACAAGCATTGCATTTGGGTATTTTATTTTGTAATTTGCAGTCTGATCACAGATCGGGTTGGATTATTGGTTCTTAATCTGCGCTGTGATGGGAATATGGTTTAATTCATGAAGTCTGCTTTGCATGTTTTTACTACAAAGCAGATCAGGCAACCGGACCTAGTTACAAGTGTTGGGTAATATGTGTAGGTTTAAAGTCGATGCTATTTGTAAATTACATCCTGCAGTCATAAGACTTCCAGCAATGTACCAATCCAATCTTGAGGCATTCTTGGCATCTATGACTATTATTGTTGGCTGTATCATTAAGACACTAAACATCAAACGGTTGTTCATTTCTTTTGGTGACCTGTGTGCTACATTCTGGTCTATGATTCAATTACAAGCCTTGAAACTCGTGACGAGCTGTATGTTAATATTACCGGTCAAATGCCTGAGGCCAGCAACATTTGCTTTTATTCCTTTTCCACTTCTCATAAAACACATTTAATTTGCTCCTTCTGGAACCTTGATTATTCATTACCAAGCTATGAAGTTTGTAAATCTTGTAATTTATAATAAATAAATTGGGCAAATGATCTGATGGGGGCAATTGTTTGTATTGATATTTACACGGTCACAGGTCATGAATACGTCTGTAGTTATTCTTAATGAAAATACCCTTTTGATATTCTAGTTTTCCTGTTCTTTTTCATTTTTGTATTTGACCGTGGTGCCTATTGTTCCATTGCATCCACTCATACATTGTGAGGCACTCCTGTAAAAAGTGGATTTGCCATATAAAAATTTGCTCCTGCTGTTGGTTATATGTTCTAATGTTTTGTTACTGTCAAATCAATGACTTTCTTTAAATTCCCGGCTAGTTTTTTTTCTTTCCGATTTTTAATCTTTCTTTTTTGGTCCTTTTTTTGCAGAAATAAAACTTAAAGATACATGGAGAGTTGGTGCTGGTCAAAATAGTAAAGAGGTTCATATCCAGGAAAACAGAAACCGCAGGGACAAAGAAGCTATTTATCAGACAGCACAAGAGATGCCCTCTAACCCCAAGGAACCTTGGGATATCGAAATGGACTATGACGACTCTTTGACTCTGGAAATTCCTATTGAACAACTACCAGATAATGATGATCCAGAAATAGTAGATGCATCCAATGAAGTTGCAACTGAAACTCACGCTGCTGTTCAAGGGGTGGCCTCCTCATCTTCAGCCAGTAATGCAGCCACTGCTGAACCTGATTTAGAGTTGCTGGCCGTACTGCTAAAAAATCCAGACTTGGTATTTGCCTTAACTTCTGGACAAATTGGCAACATCTCAAATGAGGAAACCTTGAAGCTGCTTGACATGATCAAGAGAGGCAGCGTGAACACAGGATTAAGTGAAAATGCAAATAGAAACTCTGGTACTAGTGCAATGGCCCCTGAGAAGGTGGAAGTTTCTCTCCCATCTCCAACCCCTTCAAGCAATCCAAGCACGGTGCGTGATTTGAGTTCGTACTGCAACAGCTATTTGTCAAAGATCTTATCATGTCTAATGTCTCCTATCAGAGTGCCACGCACTCTCCACTTTAGCCATGTTGGCTTGTGTCTGTTGAGAGTTGAGAGCAGATAGTATTTGTAGCTCGGGGTGTCGGGGAAAATGGGTTTTTCAGTGATGGCCCAAATTGAGATCAAAATGAATTAATTTATTAGTTCTTTTTGATTCCTTGTTTGTTTAATTTAGTTTTCACCAAGATATTTCATTGCCAAGTTCTTGGCTGCCACGTAAAAAGTATTCTTTCCATATTAACAAATAGCCAATTTAGAGTAACAGTGGGTTAGTTTCTTAGATTTCCTAACTGCAAATAGGGTATAATTTCCTTGGAGTAATTTGCGTCTATTTTATGGAGTATGCAATTCGTTTGATGCTTCTCTTTAATTTACGGTGCTGACATCCTTAGCTTGACCAAAAATGTATGAAGGCCCCCACACTATTTCCTTACAATTGTCAACATACTAAATTTTTTGAACCCGTTAATACAATCATTAAATATTAAAAATATTATTGGTTAACTGCATTAACTGATGGCTTCCCATTTTTTCAACTTTTCAGAGTGGATGCAGCATAGAAGCACCAAAGAATCCATTTACAAGGCAAAACTTAGCACCTGATAGACGTTTCCAGAGCTCTTCTACAATTGCTACTGCCAACTTATCATCTCAGATTTCAGCAACTAGTACTACAGTAAGGCAGCAGCATACATTTGTTCCGTTTTCTAAGCAGCTCCCTGGCACAACAATTTCTCCATATTCAATACCTCAGGCAAATAATAATACTATTCATGAAAAACAACCACTTCACTCTCTTTCCTCAGTCTATGCACAAGCACCATTCTCTGATAGAGGTTTAGCTATGAAGAACACAATCACCGCCGATGTATCTCTAGTCGGCGCACATACACATGCAACGCGGGCTGATGGAATAAGTAACATAAAACCAGTAGTACCTAATTCTACTATGCAAGAGGGTTTGCCTAATTCATTCCCACAATCCTTCACGTTGAACTCACCAACAACATCACGCTCAGCCACACAACAACAAAGAAATACGTATATGATGCCCCACCAGCCCCATTTTCCTGAACCATCTTATCATAACCCTGTCCGTCCCTATCAACCACAGTTCGAAAAACCAGTTCCTGCATCAGATTACCGGAGAGTTAGGCAGGATATGCCACCGAGTCATCATTCTCAACGAAATCATGACAACTATAACACATTGGTTGGGGGATCCATGCCATCTGGTTCTTGGGATAGAAACAATCATGAAAGAGGGGGATTTGAAACATGGAGTCCGGATAATAGTCCAACTAGGAATCCTAGGTATGTTCCAGGTAGGAATCTCCCAGATTCCAGAACGAATCATGTAAGAAATAATAGACCTGAATGGTCAAGGCAGCGGGGTTCTTCTGGACATTGGAACCCTGGTAGGCATGAGAACAGAAAGTGGAATGATCAGAGACGATAATATCTGTGTTTAGATGATTTGGTCAATGGGGGTTCAATCAGGCCCTTAACTTGGTGGTGTATAGAGTTGGATTCTGTTAACAATAATTTTTCTTTGGTTTATGGGATCTAAATTGATTGTTGGATGAGGATGAGTTGTTTTAGTTGATAAACTGAGCACGGTTGCAGTGTTTTGAATGCCATGCTTTTGACTAATTGACTTGGGTGTCAATTGTCAAATTTCAACTTTTACCCTTCCAAAATGGATTGGGTGTGCCTTCACTCTCACTCATGAATCCGAATCTTAGTTTGGTATTTTTGGACCCGATTTTATGTTTTATTTTTACCGGCCTAATAACTATATTATAACTAATATTTTAAAATTTTCATCACAAAATTTCTGTTTAGATGATAATATTAGTGTCTGGAACATCAATTTTATTTGTAATTTGTTTAAAATAACAAAATAATAAAACGAATAAATAATAAATGATACATGCATTTTACCAGTGTTTAAAACTCAGCCCGACCCGGTCGGTCGGACCGGTCTGACCGAGAACCGGTGGACTAGGCGGTTCGACTAAGAGATAAGATCGGAATTATATTTAGACCGGATGAAACCGGTGTGAACCGGCCGGATCACTGGTTAAATCAGTGAATCGGCGGTTTTTATTGAACCGACGAGTTTGACTATTTATTTTATTTTTTAGGGTTTTTGAAAAAAAAATTAACATAAACGCTTTGCCTCCTCGTTTCTCAAACCTAGGCATTTGAAAGGTTTTCTTTTTTATTCTGTCTTTTCTTTTTCTAATTGAAGTCATATTCTCAATTTTCTCTACCAACAAAAACTCTCATTTGATGCTGTTATTTGATATTCCTTGTTTGCCGTAAAAAATTTCATCAAAATATCAAAAACAGGTTATTTCTTTTTTACTTGGTCTAATTTGCATTGATGTTTTTCAATATGAATATTATCGTTTCATTTTGTTGATTAATTGATATAGAAAATAAATGATTAAATTTGATCATTTTTTATAAAATTGAGTCTTTTAGTTTAACAAATTGAGATAGAATTTGTATGAATGAAACAATTTTATACTTTTATGAATTAATTTATTATAGACAGGTAATGAAGTTGTTGTATATTGGAGATAGAAATTGAGTTTAAAACTATGTAATCTAAATTATATAGTAAGACAAATTTTTTTGTTTTTTATTAATTTAAATTATATAACAAAGAAAAGTTTCAGGATTTTATTAATCTAAAATATATAGCAAAGGCTAGAAAGCAAAGTTTCTATTTTTTTGTTATATATGGTGATACACAGTAACGATGTTTGGTAGCCTATATGTAATATACAACAACATATTCATATATTTTGGATTTAGATATGTTACATATTTAATGTTTCTTATAATGTTTTTATAAATTCAATAATTTTTGTTTAGAATTGTGTTTTGTTAATATTTTTGTAATATAGTTTTGTACTTTTAAATTTTGATTGATATTAGATACAACATCACCCGTTAAAATAATAACTTCTGAACTTCGATTGAAGTTAACAGATGAGATGAGAATATTCAAAGACGGTGAATTAGATTTTGGAAGGAAATCAGTCGTGGATGAACGATGTATTGTGAGGGCAGGTAATTTCATAACTTCTAACTCTTGATATATATTTTATTTTATATTTTAATATGTTTATAAATTTATTTAATCACATGGTTGTTGGCTCCTAAATTCGACACCTTTGTTTTGTTGATGTCAGCCATTAAAGCTGAAGGATGTTTTCGACTGGCTAAGTCTGTCGAAATGCCCGTCGAAAGATGGCAAAGTACTTAGAAGATTTCTTCCAAGGGAGAAGTTGGTTGCCTTCGACGTCGAAGAAGTTTCTCGTCGAAGATGTCTCTCGACGAAAGTGTTCGATGGTTCAGAGTGGAGCAGTTTGAAATTCAAGCTTTTGGAGGGAGAACGGTTTCCAGCAGTTACCACGTGTAGCGTGCAAAGATCTGGAGCGTCGAACGTTGAGAACGTGCCAAGTGGAATCATTTCGAAGCAGTGTAACTGCCCGACGGTTACTTGGGATGTTTTAGTATAAATAGTAGTAGTCATGTAAGTTCTCGCGTGTGTTCACAATTTTATACAAAGTCACTCATATAGATTCAAGTACCCAGCGTGTGAGAAAGAATTGTTGAGAAATGTATGTGTGAAACACCAATTTTATTAATCAAAGTCATTTACTTTTCCAGAAATTTACTTGCTTTCCTCTTTACATTCCTGTCGAAGCCTTTTACTTTAAGCCTTGTTTATTTTACCAAGTCCTTTCTTCATGCAATTTACTTGAAACCTCTTTATTTCATTTAAAGCCTCTTTATTTAAAGCCTTATCCAATTTAATCAAAACTTCAAAATCAACCTATGTCCTAGGATCAATCTGATCGATCCTGCGAGTAACCAAATAAGTAACCATTTGGAGGATCAGCGGTTGTTTACCAAATCCCGAGGTAAACAAATTGGCACACCCGGTGGGACAGTGTGTTGATTGTTGAAAATAATCTCATCTTTTCGAGTTGTATGTTATTGAGATGTGGTAGAATATACACTAACGATAACAATACTGCCAGAAGAAGGGAAGAGATGGCGAATCCGCCAAACAATAACGAAATCCCACAAACGAATGTGGGAGCAACGGTTAGTACGACCGTAAGTGAAGCGACAAATGTTGGTTCGAAGCCAGCAGTATCGGTCACAACCACGGGGCCAATACCTTCGTTAACAGGCCCCAGGATGCCTTTGGGAACTCCCCCACCAAGGGGAAATTTAGGCACAAGGCCTTTGGTTCCCCCAGGATTTATTCCATTCTATGGTATGCCAACTTCTGAAGTGGCAAGCCTGACGAATGCTGCGTCCACTTTTTCAGACCCTTTAGTGAGTGCCTCTTCGCCACTCCAAGGCTCTGGAGTAGGCATGGCGAATAGAAATAGGACCCAACTCTTAGGAGGAACGTCCCAAGTAGCCCATGGCCTTACAAATGCCTCGACAGCAGTCTTGAGGCAACAAATGGACGAAAGCAACCATGATATGGTGCAAATGTTGGCACAAACTTTGAGTACAGTGCTAAACCCTCTAATACAAAACACTACTCAATCGAATCAGCAAATGACAGCGCAAATGACGCACTTGGCTGATTTCTTTGGAGTACCCCAACCGATTCGACAGCCCCAAAGGGCGCAAATAAGGGGAAACCAGGGGATATTTTTAGAGGAAGAAACCACCATTAACCAGGCTCAACAGCCTGTCGAAGAAAACCTTAGGGCACGATTGGAACAACCTGTCGAGGAACCTAGGGTAATAACCCCAGAGGTAAGGTTAGTTAACAGAAACCAAAATGCTGACGAAGTGGTTCAGCATATCCAATACCAAAACATGGGTTTGGAAAACAATCTGGCAACCATGATCGAAAGGATCATGACTCAGAATGGGATGAACATGGGCTTTCGAAGGCCCAACTTTACATCTCCATTGTCAGAATACGTGTTACAAATGGACTTGCCTCCTAGATGCAAAGTCCCCAAATTTACTAAGTTCTCTGGGGACACGACAGAATCTACTGTCGAGCATGTGGCGAGATATTTGATCGAAGCGGGTGACATTTCGAATAACGAAAACCTAAGGATCAAGTACTTCCCAAGTTCTTTAACAAAGAACGCTTTTACTTGGTTTACAACTCTCCCCCCCAATTCGATCCATCATTGGACCCAGTTGGAAAGATTGTTCCATGAACAATTCTATATGGGGCAAACCAAGATAAGCCTGAAAGAACTGGCCAGTGTGAAGAGACGTTTCACTGAACCTATAGACGAATATCTAAATAGGTTTAGGTTGCTCAAGGCGAGATGTTTTACACAAGTGCCAGAACATGAGTTGGTTGAAATAGCCGCAGGCGGTTTAGATTATTCCATTAGGAAGAAGCTAGACACCCAGTACCTAAGAGACATGGCCCAACTGGCCGATAGAGTTCGACAGGTAGAACGCCTCAAAGCTGAAAAAGCTAAGGCAACAAAAACTCACAAGAGAGAGAGAATAGCGTACGTTGAGATGGATGACGAAGATCTAGAATCCTTCGACGATACTTTAACTGTCGAAGAAGGAGAAGTCGATTTAGCAGAACTGAAACAAGGGCCACCATACTCTTGTAAACTGTTAGTCCCCTCAAATGGGAAAAATCCCATTGGTCCAGAAAGGACCAACGATAGGTTCCCAAAAAAGACTTATAGTTTTGACATCACGAAATGTGATGAAATATTCGACTTGCTGGTTAAAGATGGCCAAATGATAGTACCCCCAGGGGTAAAAGTGCCTCCTCTTGATCAAAGAAAGAAGAGAGGTTTTTGCAAATATCATAATTTTTTGGGCCATAAAACTTCTCAATGTTTTCTTTTCAGGAATCTTGTGCAAGACGCTATCGAAGAAGGGAGATTGAAGTTTGCTGATAAATCCCCCATGGCTGTCGACTCAAATCCATTGCAGGCTGAAGCCCACTATGCTGAACCCTCTGAGGTGAATGTGATAGAGGCAACCAGGATCCAGTCGAAGAAGCCAGGAATTACCATGGTCGAAGTCTCAAAGGACCACATCAACATGCCAATCTTTGGCAGTTTTTCTGGAAATTTATCCAGGAAGACAATTGAAGCTGTCCAGAAAGCGGTCGAAAACCCGAAGTCGGAGACCGCTGAAGCACAAAAAACTGGATCAAAACCCAGTTCCCACTTGGCCACCGTTCAAGGCCAGACGAAGAATCTGGAGATACAAATGAAGCAGTTAACTCTTGCTAACAAAGATACAATGAATATCAACATGGTCGAACTTTCTGACCCAAAAGCATCAGAAGAGGCCATGAGGCAAGAACAAGCTAATAAGACTGCTTTCCCTCGGGAAAATGAAAACTTGGCAGATTTTCTACAGAGATGCCAGAAAAAGAAATCAGAGGTGATGCTGTGTCCAAGATGCAGTTCGATCTTT